CTTATATTTAGTTCTAGAAAATTATTGGACATTTGTAGATAAATCAGTTCATAGGCTAAATCAATGTCATAAAGTATATATTATTAAAATTAATAAGGCATCTCTATATAATTCTTGAAGTTTTATAAATACAATTTTTCATCATCTGTGATATTAAAATATTTGATTTGGTAATTCTTTTTTTTTAATTTTATGTTATGTTTATCACCATACATTACATCATTAGTTTTTGATGTAGTGTTCCATGATTCATTGTGTATAACACCCAGTGCTCCATTCGATACGTGACCTCTTTAGTGCAGTACACTCTTCAAATGCTACAATGTGAAGGCACTTTTGTAAATGTTAGATGTCCTAAGTTATGGAAACCAGTTTATTAGTACTATCATAAAAAACTTGCTACACTTGTTATATCCTAGGGCAAACTTCTCAATTTATATTATAGGGATAAACTAACAATAGAATTGTCTTAAGATCACTAGACTGTGGAGTCATGATGGCACACATAAAATAAACTACACGTTAGGGCATGAAGACCTTCTGTAGAAGGTAAAATTATTCAAAGAAATGATACAGGTTTCTGGGCTGCCACTCCAGTTTGTCCAAATTTGGATCTTTTACTTTTTTTTTTTTTTTAAGTAAACTCTACCCCCAATGTGGGGCTTGAACTCACAACCCCCAGATCGAGTCACATGCTTTACCAACTGAGCCAACCAGATGCCCTGGATCTTAAAGCCAGTTCCTAAAAACAGTTAAATATAATAACTAATATCAAATACTCTGTTGAACTGTCACTGTCACATAAAGCTTAAGGGATAGAGATCTGTTACATAATGGAAATTAAGAATATGGTTCACTGGAAGAAATACACAAGCAAATTAGTCAGAAACAAAAACTGATCAACTTGATATATAGTTAGTATCAATTTGGTATAATCAAGTAGCAGTTAAGGTTCTTTTTTTTTTTTTTTTAAAGATTTTATTTATTTATTTGACAGAGACACAGCGAGAGAGGGAACACAAGCAGGGGGAGTGGGAGAGGGAGAAGCAGGCTTCCTGCTGAGCAAGGAACCCGATGTGGGGCTCGATCTCAGGACCCTGGGACCATGACCTGAGCCGAAGGCAGACGCTTAACGACTGAGCCACCCAGGCGCCCCGGTTAAGGTTATTTTCAACTAAACCTTTAGTTTCAAGATGTTTTATAATCTGTTTTAGGCTTTGAATATGATTGAGCCATATTTTAGGACTTACAGTATAAAGAATAACACAGGGTTCTCACAGTGCATTTAATAGGCATTTCAGTTATAATGTTTGATGTTGTGAATAAAGACATTTTAATGGGCCCTGGAATAACAACTTGAATTCAGTGAAGCCAATAATCAGCCCTGCTCTATTACCTCCTTTTGTACACTGCATTGGTCAGTACAGCTCAATCCTACCTTCTTCCCCTTTTCTCAAAGTTTCCTTCTATTATCTCTCCCTTGTAAGGGTAGGTAAAAAAGGCATACTTATGTTTGAAAGATTTCCTGGTGTTTGAACCCCGGTTGTGAGAGGTGAAAAGGCCCAGAACAAACTTTTGCTTCTATCATTAAGTACTTCAGTGAAACAGATATTTTACCTTTCTCTATCATGAATAAGTGGTACAACAACTATGTAACGTTTTAAAAGAATCTTAAATTTAGAAAGCCAAACTTGCTGATGAAGAATTTATGATGAAAAATAATAAAAGGGGTAAGCAAGAAGAAAATAATATTTGAGTCTCCATGCACTGTAGTTATGCATATTTAATTGTTTAGCAACCTTGAGGAAGATTGTACCATCCATAAGCAAGACCCAGAAAACTTGTGCCAGATCAGTTAGCAATGATAGCACCTGATTTGTCAGACTCCAAAGACTGTTTTCGTCATATCCCCAATCCTAATTATGGTGCCATACCACATGTAGCATGTGCCAGAATATCTGATTCATTGCCATTTTTTACTTACTCCTCTGATAACTTTGCCTATTCCAACCTTAAAACTTAAAGGCTTGGCATTTTTCTTCTTCTTTGAACCTGTAAAACAAATTTTCCTTATAATGCATGATGAAATTAAGTTCCAATGGAAAAACACAGTGATTTAAGTCTTTAATTTTAGAACTTACCATATTATGCATTTGAAAAGAAAAATTCAGAAAACTAACTCATCAAGAAAATTCTGTGTGTAAAAATAGTCAAAAGGGGGGAGATAATATTTACACTACTAAAACAGCACTCTATTCTGCTTTTTACATTAAAAATGAAAGCCTCAACTTTGGGACATTAACCAACTTTAGACTAAGCTTATTTTTTGCTCCCCAATGACCAAGAGGTATTTCTTCACCCAGCCAATAAATAGTGAACTGAAGACCTCTGAGTCCAAGTAAATCACAGGTGCAAAAGACTTCTGGAAAAAAGTGACAGCCAAGAGAAAGGTACAGCCAACTGTTCATGTACCACACAAATATTATGCAATGCCTTAAAGCTAAAAAGATAAGATTACATTTAGACTTACTCGTTTGAATATTAGTATCAAAAACAGTCC